GAGTTGAGGATTGATTTGTCTTTAGGAGTTGCCATCAAGGATGAACCTAGATTTCTATAATAAAATTTGGTGGGGTGATTGTCTGATATGTCACCTAATTCCCTCATAACTCTTGGGAATGTTTATTCTTGGTTGTCTCTGGACTGATTCACTTGCTTTTGGAGGGGGTGTGTGCTTCACTTTTCTTTCCTCCCTCTCTGTCTTTTGTTGTCCGTCCTGTCTCTAGCTATCTAAGTGATCTGGACCGTATTGGCTGAACCGTCCTATCTACCAACCCAACAAGATGTGCTTAGGGTTCGAATCCCAACCACTGGTATCATAGAATACCCTTTCGACTTGCAAAGCATCATTTTCAGGTAGAAGAAGAGCTACACAATTTTTACTAACCCCAGTTTTGTGCCCTACTAGTTTTGTTTTCATTTTAAAATAATAAAGGGCCTCTGAAATCTGATTCAGCACGTTTATATGTCACCTACTGCACTGTTTTATGTTCCCATTTTGTGTTTAAACCCGATGTCTGAATTCATTCTGTTAATTACCTCACATTCAATTTGTAATTACTTCCTCCAAAGCCATGTTTTTACCAGGGTTTCTTGGATTGTTCACAGCAAAACTCAAAAAAGTAATGAATGGATTTGGATGAATTCTTTTGGAGAGGTAGGATATGGCACATGGATCAATTAGATTTTGGTGCTGATCTGGACTATCATCCAGAGCAGGAGTTTTTTTAATGGATTCTTCACCATTATAGGGCCAATTGCAGTGTTTTTGCTTTTAATTCCATACAGAAAAAAGCAAGATATTGTTCATATAGGATCTACCACACACCAAAGTATGATCTAGATCCAAGTAATGTTTCACATGTGGTGATCCAGAATGTTTCATTTTATAGGGCTCACGGAAACCACACTATTGTTAGGCAACAAATAATGCTACAGACTCGCAACAATCAAATTCTAGCTGAAACTCTGCTGATTCAGGATGATATCAACAGACTTCACACATCTTTAAAAAGTATAGAGCTGGGATCTGAAAAGAACTGCCTTTACTGAAATACTGTTTTTCTTTAATAACATTCAAACTAATATCCATGTGATTCCAAGTGTTGGGTCATATTATAAGGGTCAAACTACCATGGGAATGTTGCTTTTAGGTGTCATAACATTATGGGGGACAGTGAACTGCCTTGACAGAGGCACTGTTGTCTAGTTTTGTAGTAGGTTTTATTAAACCTGAAACAATTCGCCAACTATTCTGGTGGTAGTTCAAAGTTGCAATGCTTGCTAAGAAGTTGGAGGTGTGCAACCTGTTGCCGGTAGCTTTTCTTCTAATAATAAAAGCAGAAAATGACAATTTTATTGTTGTAGATACATATTTGAAGTTGGGCTTGCTTACAGTTGGGGTAAGTACTATCCTCTGACAAATATAGTGTATTTGCTGCGGCTTCTTCAAAATAAAAGATATCCTATTTTTGCCAGCCACATGCTTTTCATGTGAAGCTGAAGCAGTAGGATGGTCTGTTTGCATTAGCAATAATTTAATACAGCTCTGATGCATGTGAAGACAGTGGACAGTAAACAATGAGGTTATCAAAGAGATGAAATTGCTCTTCCATCTATATTAAAAACTACTAAACAAAAAAGTAGGTTTCTCTGCCTCTTCTATTGCAAAGAAAATGCAAGCCATAAATAGTATGAACATTTTGATTTTATAAGTTTTAAAAGAATTTAAGCAAAATTATATTCAAGCCAACGTAACCTGGGTACTTTTTCTGTATCAGAATATTTTTTTTGTTTGTTTGTTTTTTTTGTCTTTTGTGATAGACTGATTTTCTTTGGGTTTAAAATTGCTACTTGGACAAAACAAGCAATTGGCAGATTAACTCATAATGAAAGTAGATGTTAGCTGCAACGTCAGCTCGTATATGCATCTATATTACCACTTTACCGCTGTCTGTAATTTGGTATGATTAAAAGCAGGCTTAGATAATGAGTAGATAATGAGTCACTGTATATTGATGCTTCATAAAGATTCCCAAGCTGTGCTGTTAAGAAGGCATTATAGTCCTTTATGGTTTTTCTGTTTAACCCAAAGATAAGGCCTCCAGGACTTGGCACAGAGACAGTCTTAGGACCTGCCAGCAATACAGAGAGCAGCTTGCCCACCTCCTTTTCTTGCAAAAAGAGAGAAGATGAAGAAATGGAGATAGATGCAGAGAACAAGAGTGATTTAGAAGAGTGCAAATCGATAGGAAGCCGTCATGTCAGCCCCTTCCTACGCTTGGCAAGGCTAGAAATAACTCTGCTTGCAATGAGGTTGTGCTGAAGAGGTTCCCAGCAGCCCTGCTGTAGCTAAGCTCTACTCTACTTGGCTGTGCTGCTGATGGTGAATAACTGCATGCTCTCAGTGACATCAATTTTGTGTTAAGAAACCAAAAATACAAATATGTAGTGGAAATGAATGTGATGTCTGAGGCTTTATTGGAGGAAGAGCATGATTACTGAGGTTTTTTGATTTAATAATTTATGACTTTGTTGTCGTATTGTTGCAGGATGAGAAGTCCCCCAGCCCAGTATGTGGATAGTGACAAGCATATGTGGCACTGTACTGCTTCTGCTTGCAGCTGACAGGGCAATGGCTCCAACAAGGAAGTCTTTCATAGACAAACATCTCCATTCGACTTGCTTCCGTCTCTTTTAATTGGCTTTTGAAGTCACAAAAAATGTCTTTTCACTTTGCTTACCCAACATAGGAGAGCTTATTGTATTAAGTAGGTCATTCATCCTTGCTAGAGGGGAAAAATAGGAGGTAGTGAAAGCGTTTTATTTTAGGCTGGGTCTTCTGGAGAACTTCATTTATCAATGTCCTCCCTGGCAGACTGAGTTCACCTTTGTGATGTGTGATCAAAATTGCACAGTGGAGCTGTCAAATGATATTGGGTATTTGGTCAACTTATCTGTGGAGTTGAGACGTAAACAGGACCTGTATTCATCAGTTATATGAGTTTAAATCATCACATGGATTTTTATTTCCTGTTCCAGCTTAGTTGGTTTGAATGGACAGATTAAAATATCTGATTTTTGCCCTTTCTGTGCCACCTCTATTATCTGGCAACATTGGGTCCTTACTTTAATTTCATTAATTTATTTTCTTGGTTTGGTGATTTGGAAGACAACTCATTCAAATAAGAATGTAGACAATAGAAACTACATTATCGAGTTGGTCCAGGTCTCCTATCCCAGAATAAAAACATACTGTGTGTCATGTCTTAGAGCCCCTTGTTTAGAATTTTACACTCTTTAATGTCTTCCCTTATTTCCCTGTTCTTAATGTTTAATATTTTCCTCATCTTTTTTCCTTAAACCCAATCCCTTTGTCCTCATCCAGCCACTATTGGTTGCTCCTCATGTACAGTCAGGGAAAAAATTATTTGAACCCCTGCTGATTTTGTAAGTTTGCCCACTAACAAAGAAATGATCAGTCTACAATGTCAATGGTAGGTTTATGTGAACAGTGAGAGACACAACAATAACAAAAAAATCCAGTTTAATGCATTACAAAAAAAGTTATAAAGTAATTTGCAAGTATTTGATCCCTTTGCAAAACGTGCTTTAGTACTTGGTGGCAAAACCTTTGTTGGCAATCACAGAGGTCAGACGTTTCTTGTAGTTGGCCACAAGGTTTGCACACATCTCAGGGGGGATTTTGACCCACTCCTCTTTGCAGATCCTCTCCAAGTCATTAATGTTTCATGGCTGATGTTTGGCAACTCGAACCTTCAGCTCCCTCCACAGATTTTCTATGGGATTAAGGTCTGGAGACTGACGAGGCCACTCCATGACCTTAATATGCTTCTTCTTGAGCCAATCCTTTGTTGCCTTGGCCGTGTGTTTTGGATCATTGTCATGCTGGAATACCCAACCACGACCCATTTTCAATGCCCTGACTGAGGGAAGGAGGTTGAGATTGGCAGTTAATTTATGTTTCTTCCATTTGCGAATAATCGCACCAACTGTTGTCACCTTCTCACCCAGCTGCTTGGCGATGGTCTTGTAGCCCATTCCAGCCTTGTGTAGGTCCACAATCTTGTCCCTGACATCCTTGGAAAGCTCTTTGGTCTTGGCCATGGTGAAGAGTTTGGAATCGGGATTGATTGATTGCTTCTGTGGACAGGTCTCTTTTATACAGATAATGAGCTGAGAGGGCTCCCAGTGTTACCTGTATAAAATGCGCCTGGGAGCCAGAGATCTTGCTGACTGATAGGGGATGATCAAGTACTTATTTCATTCATGAAAATTAATGTATAACTTTTTTTGTAATGCATTTTTCTCATGAGATGAGATCTTGCATGGAGCTCTCACTGTTCACATAAACCTACCATTGAAATTGTAGACTGATCATTTCTTTGTTAGTGGGCAAACTTACAAAATCAGCTGGGGTTCAAATAATTTTTTCCCTGACTGTATCTCTCACGTTTAACACCTAAACAAGGAAACACTCACTTTCTATTTCCTGCATGTACTGCATCGGCTTTGCAGAAAAGGGAGAGAAGGATGGCATTGTTTGTGCATACACATACACTTCCTTGTAGTTATTTTGGTTTACCTTAGGGAACGTTTGCTCTTTCCTCTCTGTGATTCACGCTGCGGATTTTCAGTTCATGTCTCTTCTTTTTAAACTCTGTGTAAAAGGGGTGATGTGCTTGAACTACACTAGATGTTTGAAGTGGTCTTCTGTACAAACGATCAGATAATACTGACCTCGAAACATGTTGGCCACCACTGGATACAAAGCTTAGTGTAAATGAAATAAATTAGGTGACATTTTGCAAGGTGAGTGCCTCATTGCACTGATAAATACTCTTTTTGAAAGTTATATTCCAGACCTGAAGTGACCCAAATTCTTGATTGTCCTTACTTGAATGACTTTAGGGTTTCCTCTGTGGTGGCTGTGTAACAAGATTTCAAATAAATCCCAATCTAATACATGTACTGTAATGAACTATTTGATTTGGGATGTGGACATGATGAACTGTGGTTCAAGTTTGATTCTCCTGTCGTTCTAAACATTTAACATTTGTTAAATCTTTGAGATAAAGATTGGGATGCATGCGTATCTTTTAATTACTAAACAGTGAAGATCATAAGACTCTTGAGTGATAGATTTAGCAGCAGCCTAACTTCTTCTCTCTGTTCTTCATTTCATCCTATTATGTTCCAAACAGGATGGTGGATGTGGGGGGTCAGAGGTCTGAGAGGAGGAAGTGGATCCACTGCTTTGAGAACGTCACCTCCATCATGTTTCTGGTGGCACTTAGCGAGTACGATCAGGTTCTAGTGGAGTCGGACAACGAGGTGAGACAGACAGGAGTTGTATCTGTGCAGATTCTCAGTCATCCAGGTCATAGTAAACCGCAACCGAAACCGAAATAACCTTGGAAATCACCGGGACTTGGATATCTATCCAATATCCAAGTCCAGTTGATTTCCAAGGTTATTTCGGTTGCGACAGGAGTTGTAGTTTCTGAATTGTTGAGTATGCACAACATTTTGTCACATTCACACCAAGACTTAAATTCTAGCTGTATTTTGGTATGAGATATTTAAACATTTAAATTTTGACAATGAAATGGTGTACCTGAACACACACACACACACACACACACACACACACACACACACACACAGACACGCACACACCATTAAACCTACACCCATCCACACTTATGTGTACACAGTGGTTCACATGACAAAGTGTCATGTGAAAGGTGTGGCTTACAGTGATGAACCCACAGAGTTATCACCAAACCATTCCATTCAGTTTCTGCAGAGCATTTTCTCTTTATCCAGCTCATCGTTTTGGTTTCATGGCCCGCAACCTTAACTGTACTGTTTTGATTCTCTCCTACTGCTCTTGTCAGCCTCATTGCCAGCAACAGCAGACAGTTGTTCACCAGCAGAGAAGCTCAGACAACTCCACTGTACACTACCGGCTCAGCATCAAGTAGCAGACAAAGTTAGCAACTAGCTGATGTTGGTAGCTAACCTTGTGGTGCTGATCCACTGTTTAGCAGCTACATAATCGGCTGATTCTATCAGATGTAGACCAAAAACTGAACTAAAAGGAGCATGGATTTACATTCACCAGGTGTCCAGAAAAACAACTTCAGTAAATGCTGATGTCTGCTGTAGGTACTAGTAGTTGTTTGACAGTCTTGAGAGTTTCCTGACTATTTCTCATCTGTTACTGTAATAAACAGCTATACCACAGTGCCCTCCAGCTGCAAAACTATTTGTCTAACAGATGTAAAACAGCCTCTGAATATGACCTATTAATTACTTTTGTTGTGCTGTGTATATATATCACCACTAAATTATAATAGCAGTTAACCATACCATACCAGTGAAAGTAGCATATTTTTGGTGTCATGTTATTGCAGAATTGGGTAAATAAATGGTGCTCCTAGTATGGAACCAGTTGACAGACCCTACTGCCCTCTACCCAAAACAGAAGGCAACAAAAGAGAAGTTTTATTGAAAATTACTGTTGGCTTTGTTATTGCCATACCTTTATTCAGCTAGGTCTTTGATGTTTCATCAGATACAGATATCAGTAAAAGTCAAGGTGAGGCCTGTGCATTTTCACATTCATAGACTTGGCACCAGTAATGGCTCTGGCAGACACACACATAAGACTCCTTAGTGTTGAGATATAAAAACTCTGGTTCAAAATTTCATTCACAGTGAAGAGTCACTCAAGCAGACTTTGATAGTTGAGTTTTCTGAATGCATCCTAACCTTGTATTTCTTTTCTTGTGTTTTCTCTTTATTCCTGGCTTATATCAGAATCGTATGGAGGAGAGTAAAGCTCTCTTCAGGACCATTATCACATATCCCTGGTTCCAAAACTCCTCTGTCATCCTCTTTCTAAACAAGAAGGACCTACTGGAGGAGAAGATTATGTATTCTCACCTGGTTGACTACTTCCCAGAGTTTGATGGTGATTTGACTAACCTTTTTTACCTCTGTGTTATTATAAATTTCATGTAGTCTGCCTGTCCTGACTGGTTATGTATTGTAAAATTCATTAACCATTTAGGCAAGAGGTTAAGCCTTTGGTCAAGCTCTGTCGTTTTCTTTTTTTTAAAGACCCTATGAAGATCAAATTGGCTGGTTTCTATCATAACAGTGAAAGTGGCTCTATACTCAGTGTCGGTATCAGCATCTGCACACAAGGGTTTCTTTCACTCTGGATGACTTTGTGTAGGCAGAATGTTTTAGCTCTTATTTGTGTTTGTAGAGTGACACCCTGTGGTTATAATGTTGTACTACAATCCAAACTGACATCCATCTTGCAGTGACTGAACACAGCAGTTCTTGATATTTTTGTCTTATCCTGTAAAATAAAGCAATGCCTACTCGCCCCTCTAATCAGCCACCTCTATAATGGACATAAAATGACATAAAAGATCAATAAAGGCTCAGTGACACTAAAACGAGTTCCAGTAAAAGCCCCCAAAAAATTGTATGTTGTTTTCTCAGGTCCCCAGCGGGATGCCCAGGCAGGACGGGAGTTCATCTTGAAGATGTTTGTGGACTTGAACCCTGACAGTGACAAGATAATCTACTCCCATTTCACATGCGCCACCGATACAGAGAATATCCGCTTCGTCTTTGCAGCCGTCAAAGACACCATCCTGCAGCTCAACCTCAAAGAATACAACCTGGTGTGAAGGAGAGATGGAAAAAGAGAGAGGGAGAGAGAGCAAGCAAGCAAGAGACCTCCGCCCCCCACCCCCCACATCTGCATGAAACACATTTGCTCTCAAAGACATGAGCTTTGCTTTATACTTTACCAGATCATGTTGGCCCCTTTGCCCACCTAGTTTCTCCAGTTGTTGATTTGCCTATGTTTTTTTAAATTTTTTTATATCTGTTTTGTGGTTCTATTAATTTGCTCCTCTTGCACAAACACACACAAATATAACACTCCCTTCATTTGTCCCCTTTTGCTGTGGAGTTTTGATCTGCTCCAGGGGTCTTCTTGGTCCTCTTTGGCCCTTGGCATGATTGATAATTGTTCTTTCTTTTTACACAACATTATCACCAGTGCTTGTGTGTACAAGGTGGGTAAAGAGCCTTCTCTGGGTACAGTAAGCTTTTATGGACAAAGGGCTTTCTCCCTTCTTCATATTTACCCCATGCATGTTATACACTACAGCAGGAGGGCAGGAGGTCAGGCTGCAGACTCTGGACTTGGCTCATCTGCATCGGGTAACTAATTATGATGATAGGATTATATTATTAGGCAGTGCTGGGATGCGGTGAGGTACTTAGTTCCCCTGGGTCTTAAATTTTTTGTTGTTGTTGTTGTTTGTTTTTGTTTTTTTGTTTTTTAAACCCTGCCCCAGATCACAGCACAGGATCTCTGTTGAATGTAAATAATTTTTTTATGCTTCGCACACAGAGTGGCGGCTAAACAGAGATGACTACTCTCTGGACTTTAAATAGTTTTCATTGTTAACTTCATGGCTCCATTATTACTGCTATTGTTCTTCAGTTAAAAGCAAGTTGAGGGTGACTAGTCAAAGGATTGCAACCCTCCAGAAAGAGTTGCAGTATGATCCATATACAACATCCATACATTAAGAAACAAACAATTAAGTGACACCAATAATTGATAGTTGCATACTGTGCATCAGCTCTGCTGTTATTGTGCATCATTGCTAATTTCAAACCACTTTTGCTCTGTAAATATAATTACATTGCCAGTGTCTTGTTCATTGCTTAAGTGGTTGAAGTACAAACAAAACATTTGGGAACTGGTATTACCAAAATTGTATTTTTTCTAATGTTGGCTCATTCAGATATTGATGGAATAACAACTGGCTTTGTGTGGCATTTCTTTTCTGTTTAACAGTTGCCTGGATCACATGTGTCAGTACTGTGATGGCGAGGATAATCTCTCTGTGTACAATGTGTGAACAATGTGTGAATGACAGTACCACATTAGTAGAGTGCAGTAGTTTGGGGGGTGGGGGGCTTTTGCTACGCCAGCTGGCTTCAGTCACAAGTTAGTGTCATTCATCTAAATCTGCATTATTTTGCCATTTTTTGGACCATTTGATAAACTGTAATGGCAGCAGAGTAAATAGTTGTTTTTTCCCCTTTTTTGTTTGTCTAATTTATCAACCAGATCTATGTATTGTTGATACAGTGAATGAGACTTCTTCCCTAATTTTAGTTTTTCCAGACTAGGACACAGGAAGAGATTTTATACTGCTGTAAAATATCAAAACTATTTTATGGACAAGTGTTCTATCTTTCTAATGATACTTCATATATTTAGTTGTTGCAGTTCTGTTTTTAAACGCTTGACAATGGGAAAGCAATGTTTCCATGTCAGGTATGTGCTTTATGCAAATAGGAAAATGAAAAAAAAACTTAGTGGTTTACTATTTACTGTTCAAGGAAGCTTGTGTTTTTTGTAATTTTTCAGGATACGTGTTGGCTATTGGTACCAGTCCCATATCGTGTCTCTTGCCTGATAGTTGTTTCAATATTCCATTAAGCTGAAAGTTGATTGATGGCTATTTTTGTCTTCTCATTGTAATTCATTCAGGTAAGCTTTCATAACTTTTTCATTACAAGGGCTACTATTAGCAGCTTTGGAAGAAATACAAGAGCTCTATGAATTGCATAGAGCACATTTAGTTAACGAGGGCGACTGAATCAAGAGTGTCGATGTCCTGTTAAGGACGATGGCTACACGTTCAGTGAAGGAGCAATGCAGTAGTCCGCAGATGCCTACATGACATTGCTGAGGAAAGTCTGGTGGCTGAATTTTTTTTTTGTTTGTTTTTTGTTGTTGTTTTCTGTCTTTCTGAGGAAGAGGAAAGAAGTGGGGGTTCCTGGGGTGCAGTAGCACATTTGAATGTCTTAGCTGTTGCACCTAAACATCCTCATCTCATGAATTTTGTGCTCTTCCTCTTGGCTCTATGATAATTTCCACTATGTGGTTATACATATTTGAGTTGACTCTTCATTGGAAGTTATTCTGTGGTGGATTTTGGCATTGCCTATGTTGGAGTCAGAACAAAAGGAGTGCTAGCACATTGAAATAGTATCTCAGTCGGATTTAACTTATTAGATACATTCTTACTGATCTTAAATTGTTTACTAAAAGGTTTAGAATTCACATTTCTTGGTGATTTTTCTACATAAAAGTAGTGTGACCTACCTGCGTAGATGCACGCTATGAGAATATATTTAGAAATTGTCATGCTAATATGTACATTAAACCATTATGTGTAGATTTTGTGCATTCTGAAACACCCAATAAAAGAGGGAGGTGTTTATTTAAGCTAAGTGCCACTGTGCGAGTTGAAACGTTTGAAATGTTTCAAGGGTCAGACTTTGAGAAAGCATGTTTGTTTTGGCTTTGATCTTGTTTATTCAGCTTGTATTGGTAAAAGATTAATCTTTGGTGCTTCAGCCAACATTTAAAGGTGTTTTGTTAGTTTGTCCCATATGTAGGGTGACGCTTCACATGAGCTCACTAACAAGTTAAATTTGTGGGTGCCGCAATTATTATTATTATTATTTGTAGTAGTATTTTGATATGTGGATGAATAAACTGACTGACTCGAGCTGAGTTCGCTCCACTGCTGGGATAATAGATGATGTCTGTTAGTGTTTTTAAAATTTTCTGCTTGGCTTTCAGGAGGCACACTCCCTTCCCCTGAACTGAGGCTCGCCACTTCAAGGGCAGGTGTGTGGTCTGTTATGCTTCATTCCTATATACATGATTTGTTGTCCAGCAAATAAACTTGAACGGCCTGCTGTGAGGATGGTAAACAAAATGAAGGCGACCACTCCAGAGACTACTGTTGGCATGATGCGTACTCTTTTAAAAATGTTTTTCAATTCTTCACTTGCTGACAATATGTAGACTTCATAACTTATCTGGTCAGTGGTTCACAGAACCAGCCCCACAAAAAGTCAGATACTGTAACTACACTAACAGTCATTAGAGCCGGTGGCAGATTTGGGTCAGTTATTTAAAAACATTTCCACTGATTGATACTGTATGTATATGCTTTATTCTGCATAGAAGACAAGTTGGTGAAATTTTGTGTGACAATCCAGTACAAAACACAGTGCCAAGCAAAATCAGTCGCAACAGGAAGGATATCAACAGTCTAACATTTGTTATAACTTGACCCCATTCTCTGTGTTCATGTTATTAGACTTTTACATTGTATTTTTCTCTCTCTCGCCAAATGAAGCTTGTGTTAAGCCTCAGTATTAATGCATTTACCACTTGCAAAGTGAAGGTACTGAAATGGCAATTTTAATATTTTGGTGGTTAAAATAAGTAAGTGAACGAATATGCTGTGTGTTTACATGATGATATTCTCTGCTCCCCGCACCCCTCCCCCCTTTCTTAATTTCCCGGGTCAGAGGCAATGAAATTGCACCACTGCAATGGACCTGCATTCATGCAACTTAGATGTCCATTCAAGTGCTTGTTGGTATTCTGAGGTGTGTGTGTGTGTGTGTGTGTGTGTGTACACTTTTGATGGCTTTTTCTTATGCTTGAGATCCATTCTGGTCAGAGGGATGGAAATACAGTGATATTAAAATATATCTTTGCATCTTTTTTGTTTTCTTTTGTAAGGTTGACACTCCTTAACATGTATGTTTAGGACCACTTAAGATGACACTTTTTAAAGAGTTTAAATAAACTTTGTGTAGTGGTGTACAAATTGAAAGTAATGTATTTTTGTTAATTTTTTTTTCTTTTTTTAAGTATACCAAATGTAAATTATGTACAATGAGTGTGCCAATCCCCTTTCTTTGTAAAGCCAGACTCTTAACAAGTGCCAATGTTGTGAAAAATCAGAGGGCCTGTGAATTCCATGGTCCAGTTTTTAAAACATAAACACTCAAGTATGTGGTTAACATAAAAGGACAGTTGTGGTTAACATAAAAGGACAGTTTTATGCTATATTTAAGACTAATGAACTGCTGTTTTTAAGATAAATGTCATTTTAATTGCATGTGTTTGTCAGGTTGGGGAGGGAATGGGAGGGTGAGATACTGTATTCATGCAACATAAAGGGTCCTAATGGTTATTGATTTGAACATGAAAATGACTTTCATAGCCTTCGCCTTTAAATGTTTTAAATTGGAATAAAATATGTTCCTATACTCTTACACTCTTGTTGTGTTGTTGTACTTCTTCTTTGGAGTGAGAAAATGTTTTGTGTGATTAAAGGAATATATAACTTCCTATGTTACCATAAATCTTACTGTATACATTACTGCTACTATTTTGCATGTTTAAGAATTACTATTATATTTTTCTGCTGTCCAATCTGCAGCTGGTTTCCCCTCATTTCAATACAGTATTAAAACCTGTATGTTTTAGGTAAGTCACAACAGCCGCATTATTAACTGAATAATTTCTGTCACATTAGTGTTGGATGGTAATACAGTGTGTGCATCTCAGTTATGTTATTGAAGTTACAGTAAAATAATCTGACAGTTAAAATATTCATACTGCCACATTAGGCTATGTTTTTATATCTCCACAGTTTTTTTTGTTTGTTTGTTTTGTCATTATGAAATTATGGATACCAAAGATTACTTGGAAGTTGTTTAGTTTGTAAATAAAAGAACCGCATGTTTCAAAAAAGGTCAGCTGGCAGGTGTACTCCAAACAATACATGCTTTATAGTTACTGGCTTTAAATATGGAAAAAAAAAAAATACTAGTATGATCCTTTACCCTATAGGTACAAGATGCTTCAGTTACCTGCCACAACATGTGACTGCAGTCTGTGATCAAGACACTCTTTGTTTCTTCCTTGAAAGTAAATGTGAACATCAACTGAAATCACTGACATAAAACAGTGCTCGGGTTGCAGAGGTTAACATTTAATGGAAAGAATTTCAACTCTAAAGCAACTTGAATTACAACAAAACCTTAATTATTATTACAAAGGAGGGTCATGTTAGATCGAATTAAAAAAACAGCATTTGCCAGTTTTTTAAAGATCTGACACTGAGCATTGTGATGACTTTTCAAAGCAACACAAGGCAACCCGCAGAGGTCCAAACTAGCAGCATGCAGGTGCATCATACAAAAATGTATAGGTCTACTTTGTTGAAGGGAATTTCTCCTTTCGGCAAAGTATAGCCTTTAACATCAAGGCAACATGTAGTAAATAGAAAAAAATGCATTAATATGGAGGAACATTGCCTATAAATTCAGCCAAATAAACCTTTCTGGTAATTTTCCTCAGAATTTACATTTCATGATGATACACATACTACATGTTTAGTTTTTTAAACCTGCTTCTGATATAGTTTAATGCAAAATCTCTTCAAATGTGACTGACAAAAATCTAAATAAAAAGGGATTTTGTATTCTTTACCACAATTTCATATCAGGCAGTGCAGAAAAGATTTTAGCCCATAATGTACAGCAGCAATTTAATGTACAACAATTATAATTCAACTTTTAAATGAATGAAATGTATTTATTGATCCCCACTAGGAGCAACCCCATTTACAGTCTCTTTGTCACTGGATACATTCATATTTAAGAAACTATGGATTAAAGACTCTTTAAATACTCACAATTTAGAGTGGGGTTCTCAGTATTTTTAAGTAATATTTCAATTATTATAATTGTTATTATACTGAATAGCATTTCTTATTTAGCAAAGGCCAGATAAGGATAAATGAATGGAAGGATTGATATAGATAGTTGGCAAACTACAAGATGTTTTACCATGTTTTGTCCAAAGGTTCTCAAAATCATTTTGACTGGTGTTTTACAGCCATAGTCTGTGAAAAGGCTTCGGGTGGTGTACTGTATATTGATGTTAATGTTGGGATTAGTCGGACCTAGTGCACCGATAGTCACACATTTCTGAGACAGTGTGGCGGACTGTCCACAAGGGGCGATAGCTGCTCAGACATCAGCCGCTTGATGAGGCAGATCTGCGGCGTGTATATCTGCACGGCACCGCTTATCTATCCGCTGTGTTTCTGTGTGGGGCGTTCAGCTCAGCGCCAAACGACCAGCTCCAGGAATGGACTGACTTTCTAGCCTCACCAACACTGACAAATCCAAAAGGATAAACATTCAGAGCCTGGGAACATTTCAATTTGAAGTTGGTTTGCCGTGTGAGCGACAACAGAGATTTGGTGTGTTCCCGGAACATTCGCGCGATTTGTTTGTTGCCGTTGGACGAAACGGGATTCAAGTTAACGAACCCGCAGACATTTTGTTATTTCTGAGAATTAGACCGTTTTTCCATTCCTACTTTTTCATCAGTGTAGTCGCAGCTGGCTGAGGAAAACGAGCAGAAAGCTTCGAAGCGGCAGCACAAGGTGGAGGAAGAGAAATTACACTCGCTAGCTACATCCCAGACACCACTGTGTGCATAACGTTATTAATTTATGTGCGTTGAGCTGGCATCGCTGCCGCTGGTGCGTTAAGGCGGAAAGCTTGCAACAGCGATGAATCATTTTTGACTGACAGCGTTTGAAGAATTAGCTAGCATATCCAGTGAGGAAGCGGCACTGGTGGTGGTTGCCTCTTCTCAGACACAGTAAATACAGGGTTGGGACAGGTAAAGCTGAGTGGCCTTGCATCGCCCAGACAAGACACCGACTCATGTACCTCGCTGACGACACTTATATTCAGCTTAATATTTTGGGGTTCGTTAGCTGCCGTTAGCTAGTCATCCTGCTAAGGCTGGACAGCTCCTGGTTAAGGCTGGGCTAGCTTTGGACAAAGGACCAACGCAAGGAAAAATTTATAAACACAGGGCACACAGTTAATCGTGTTTGGGAAGGAGAGCAACAAACAAGGAACTGACATGATGTTTCCACAATCAAGACACTCAGTAAGTGATTTTAATTTGACATTTGTTCAGAAATTAGGCACTTTCTTTACCAAGCGGTTTATCCAGGCAGGGAAATTATGCATCTAACTAGTTTTATGACAGCAGAGAGCTATTATGAAATACTGGGGATTTTTTTCGGACCATGGTAACAAATATTGATTTATAATTGCAGAAGATGTGTGGTTGGTGGTTACCGAGATATGACATGATGTAGAGAAAACATTCTTTATTGTGGCTTTACACTGTTCCACTTTTTGCAGATGTTGGCGTCCTCCAAATCAAACAGCTCTAATGAATGCTGCCAGATTTCACAAGTGCTTGATTTTACCCCCCTGTGTCACTTTCATACTGCTGCATTGCCAAAAAGGCCAAATAAATAAATAAGAGCGGTAGTCCTGTTGGAACATTTTTCAGAAAGGGAAGCAAAACAAGTGGTGTAGTTATCGACATTGTATGGCAACTCAGCCACTCAAAATGCACTATTCTGTGCAGGTAGGTGTTTTATGACTGGGAAAGCACACATCATCTCAGTTCCCCTAAATCTCAAGTTTCCATGGTAACAGAAACTCAGACCAGGGCATGTAATTCATCAGTGATGAGGGCTCTCAGTCCACTGGTCAAACATTCATGTTTAGTGTCTGCAGAATTGTTAGTTGTCAGACGAGACATTCAGTTGTGTCACTGCTGCTGTGGAAAAGTGATTCTCTCAGTTAAGAGCAAAAAAAAGAATTTTTGGTTTTCGGCTGCTATCCAAGCTTAAAAGAAGCCAACTCCATAATACATGGTCCCATGAGAATCCTAACTAAGCCTACCTTTGTTTTCACTTTCTAGCTTTGGTTGACATTTCACCTTACCCCCGCAAGGGCAAATTTAACTAAGGGCGATTTGTGTAGCTACCGTAATTGTGGCACAGGTAAACACAACAGCAAAAAGGCTGTTATGTTGTCAGGGACTGTGCCCTCTGCTTCTCCCTGGCAACATCTTGTCGCCACCGCTGGTTCTTTAACTTAACTTAATCAAATAAAACCTTACTCTTTTTCACTTAAAAAAAATTTACACTGCTGGATATAAAAGTTGTATTGTATAGTTGCTGCCAAACTAATACACCAGTCAACAACTCAGTGGTGTGCATCTTACATGTGCTCAAAGTCACAGAAGCTGTGAATTTGGAGTGGTTACTGTTGGAGTGAAAACCCAATGATGCAGTGGGATGTGATGCTTGCCCTTTATTCATTTACTATCACAAGAGTGAATTGTCTCCCAAAGCACTATGGGATAGCAGGCAGTGCAAAGAGTGACAAGTGATGAGGGGTTAAAAAAAAATTCACATGCACAACTGAAAAAAGAACTTTAGTCTTTACCAGGTGTGGATTAATGTGTGTTGGGGGAGAAGATCATGTTACAGTTTGTCACATGTTGTTTCTCTTTAGAATTCCAGATACAGATATGCTGATTTGGGCATCATGTCGCATAAATTGTTAGTAGAATTATAGGGTGCTTATTTATTAACTTTGAGTGAAAAGTGAAGGAGGCAAGGGTACACAGTTTAGCCCAGTTTCCACCAAAGATACCTTTCCCTGGGCAACAGGAACCTTTTGCGGAACGTAGTTCCTCTACCTGTGTTTCCACTGAAGGAACTATGGTCTAAATTTAGCTCTGGACCATAGTTTTATCTTCCAAAAAACTCTCTCATCGGTGAGCAGTACTTTCTGAAGATCTGAGAACTATCAGCCTGCAGTACTGGGCATCCCACACCAGTCAAATACCATTTTACACGTGACATTCTTAACACCCTGCTGCAGATGGTCACACTTTCACATCAGCTGATTAAAGGGGTTTTTCATTGCAGGAACCTATTGAAACCTTCCACCGAGTTACGCTTGTCACAGGTTCTGCATATGTTTCCACTACACTGGACCCACTTTGGAGGTTTGTCCTGGGAGCTAAATTTCAGGACGCCCCAGGAGGTTGTACTAAAATCAATTACCAGGACCATGTGAGGGGGAGGGGGTGGGGTACCTGCATGCAGGTACTAAAAGTCTGCATCTTCACACCTCAAGCATTAGCATTACAAGCACTGTGTGTAAACACACAGCTGACTGCTGGAAAAACAAAGGACGGTCTGCGTCAACCTGGGAGGCTGTGCTTGGTGAGGGTTAAGGGACATACGGGGTATACCACTTGTTAGGTTCCAATAGTGGAAACGTGGCATAAATTATTTAATATTCCCGGGGCTATGAAAAATCCATATCGCATTGCACTCCAGGGACTTTTACACCAGGGAATGTTTTTGGGCTTTAGTTCCTGGGAACAAACAGTACCTGGAACTTTCTGGTGAAAGTGCACCTTTATTTTTATTTTTTGCTTCCAGTGGGTCGTCACAGTGTGGCCCCTTAAGAGTGAACCTTGACTTAGCTCTTACAATATAGCTGCAACTTCAGAAATATCTTAAAATTAAATTCACAGACTGTTTCTCAGTTTCAGGTTCTATGTAGCGGATTTTCTATTATGTCCATGTAATGCTTACCTGCACTCAACTACTTGGACAAGATATCACTTTAGAGCCATACTTTCAAACCAACCCTTGCTTCTTCTGGGTGAAGTGGTGAAGCAGTCACCTCCTGATGGGTTGAGAACTCAGTCACATTTTCCAAGGTGAGAGCAGGTGTGCCACTCTGCTCCTGCCTGCTTGCCTGTCTGGTTATTTTTTCTTATCCAGTTTAGTACCTTTACACTGCTTGATTGGAGTATTAAGACCCAGCACACATGATTAAAGATAGGGTTTGGGAATTTGGCTTGTCTCTTCACTAAAGCTGCAGCTAGTTGAGTCTTAGCCTGTTACAACCAACCATTTCCAAACCCCCACCCCTCAAATATACCTGTGACTAACCACCAACCCTCCACCACATCTTTAAACATTAATATACTCTACATGAACACACATCTTCCCTCTTTTTAAGATCATGCTGCTGCTACTGCTGTCACAGGCTCGAGCACAGGGAGAACGTGTGACACCCATATACTGTAGATATGAGGGTCAAAGATAAGAAGCTGGAAGATGAGAGAGTAACAGCACTGCCTCATAATGACAGATAATAGATCTTTCAAAGTGACTCAGTCATGACTGAATCTGCCTTCCTTTTACTTTTGTTTGCCCACTCTGTAGTAAAGATCCAGAATGGCATATGATGTGAACAAAAGCCTTAAATTTCCATTGTGGATGTGTGCAGTTGAGGATGTAGTTGCATCAAGTATGATGCATCTGATTTATAGCATCAGGGTACTTGCAGAGGAATTTGTATTGGTGGTGGTGATGTGTGGTCACATTGCATTAAAATAATGTTAAAGCGTTTCCTGTGCGAATGGTAAAAGCTGTTGCCTTTACTGGGACACTTAAGGCAATTTATTTTGTTAATGTAAAGTGTATGTGAAAGGGCATAATGGCAGAGGATAATCAGCTTTTAGCTGTTTCATAGTTAGGCACAAGAGAAAGCTGTTCCTGTCAAACCTTGGGACAGGCCAGTTTTTCCCCATTTGAATGTTTTCTGCTTTTCTTCCAGAGATGTGTGGGATGGGTTCTTGCCATCTGCAGTTTAACACTTTGTTTTGGTTATAGGGTGCATTTTGTTCAGAAGTCATGTCTGGTGGAAGCTCTTATTACTGTTTTTCACAGCTCCATTCAGATATACGACGGTCACAGCGAGAGGTAGTGGGTATTGTCACTTTATTACGTTTTGATATTTTTTCATGTGAGAAAGTAGCCATTTAGATTTTGAATATGTGGTCAGTCTATCCAAGTAATGCCAATTTAGATATTTGCTCCAATGTTTTTGGAGATGCGAGTACCCGCCCATCTAGCTGTAATTAATAGACAGCTACCATTTTGCCCGGACAGTCGGCATCATCCGCTCATTCTGATTTTTCTGTCAACAAGGACACTCCTGTTCCAGTTGCACATTGAGCATGCTCCATCCTCCAGCCCTCAGGAGTAGAGACTCAATGTCCAAACTTATCAAATATGGGAGTCTGAGCTTTGAACTACCACAAATTTTGTTCTAATTAATATGAATGACATAGACTGTATTCACATTGTGGCCATATTTGTTGTCACATGACAACTGAGGTGGGAAACTGTACGCCAAATCTCGACAGACATGGCATTGGAAAAAAGTTTAGCATGTGGCCCTCTGCTAACTTTTAATCTAGTTGAAAACTGGGCTAACGGGCATCTAAATTTTTTATATATATATATATATTCACTTGCCACACTCTTGTAATAGATTTCCTCACTTAAGATTGTTTGGTCTATGGAAAATGCTGGGGCCCACTTCCTGGAAGCAGGTATCTTTTGCCAGTCTCTTCACGCCCCATCAAACACACTGCTAAAGTCTTTTGAACAAACTTTTGTGCTGGATGTGATCTGTATGAACATTATGCAAAAATATGTATTCCAGTGAGTATAATGTCCTATAACATTACTGACTTAACCAGCACAATTCTGAGGCTGGGTGAAGAGACACCAAGACAGTTGACATTACATTAAGAGCTTGATTACATTCTGTGTTTTACTTGCATACCTAAATAAACGTGTGCAAGATGTGCACTGATATTTTAGAATGACTTTACACCTTTCCTATTGTAACACTAACATTTTCAGAGTGTAATGGTAGCTTGGACGTGGTTGAATGCTAATGTTAGCTTTTGTTTAATGGTGACATTAACTAAATGGTTATCAAATATGTTATTTTACCTTCAAAATGTGGCCTGATGTCCTTCTGAATTTTCACTATCCACTGTTTTCTTAGTTGTTGATCATTCAGAGCGGTGAAATGATAACGTTTTGCCAGATTCCCTATGTTTATACAGCTTAGAACCTGTAATAGCAGTAAGACACGATCCCTTTCATAAACTTCCCACCCTGATTGTCGCATGGCAACAAATATGGCTCTCATGTGATTATGATCTATGCTGCAGGGGTAGAAGAATGGAAAAAATTACCA